AATGTTCTCAGAGCGGTTACACAGTATGTGATCAGTAAGGGTGGCTGAGAACTATGTGATCTGGGTTGGTGTGTTAATTAGTTGAGTGTAACTATTTAACCTAGAATTTGCTTATACCTGTTACATAGCCCGTTATTTTGCTGTTGAAAACAGATATTGAGGTCTCCCAGTGTTACTGTCTCGCAATTGTTATCAGGTCCTGACAAGACTCTCGAAAAGTCTTCTAAGAACTGGTCCTGGGTGGGAGGGCGGTAACTAGTTCCTACTAAGATGAGTTTGGTCTTGGGAAGCAACACTTCAAACCATACAATTTCCAGTTTATTGCCATTTAAATCAGGTCTTGAGTTGTTGGCTAAGTCATTTCTTAGGTAGGCACATACCCCACCACCTTTTCTATTCTTACGAGTATATATTGTAACCTTTTATTTTGACCTCGTCGTCAGTCACCGTATCATCCAACCAGGATTCAGAGATGGATATAACTGGCCCCCTAGTTCTGTTAGCTAGAATCCTAATATCTGCCAATTTTAGAGAAAGTGACCTTGAGTTGACATGAACAAAGTGAAGGCCTGTTTTCATAACATAATCATAATCATCAATATATGGCAAGGGGTCATTTGTATTAAAATTAGGTAAATCAATGTCATCACTGCTAAAGGGTAATTGTGCCAAAATGCATTTGTTATAAATAAAATTAAATCTGCTACCATTACCATAATCGAACACACATCCATTGTGCACAAACCCATTATACATTTTGCATAAGGTATATTTACTGTTCTTTCGTACCTTAGTACAGTGTATACATAGGTCTGGTGGTGTCTGAGATAATAAGAATGGTTCTATTGTCTCACATTGACTTATATATGCATTACATACAGAGTTAAGGTTATCATTCCTAGCTACTAGACCGTCATTATCACCGTCACTTATCTACCTGTTTTGCACCTGTACCATAGTTTGAGGTCCTGGATTAGTTTGGATATCGCCACTTAATAGCGCCACTATAAGAGCTGTGCACCACTGTTTTTGTTTGGGTATGCAGTGTTGCCATACCCTGTGGCGATAGCGACACTAATGTTTCTGGTAAGATGGTAACTGTTGGGCTTTCACTGTCCAGGCTGCTATCACCCCAGTCGCTTTTTCCAGTCCCCATGACTGATTTCCTTCTTCAGAGAATTGCAGGATAAAGATAAATATGATAATGGCAGCCTGTACACCTCTAACACCAGCCATGTTCACTCTTTACTATTTTTATCACTTGGCAACAAAGAAATTTCTTTCTTCCTTAAAAGAAGAAAAAAAAAGAAAGCACTGATCGCTATCAGTTACTTAGCAATGGCCTAGCAGCTACTCTAGCAATCACCACTGACTACTAGTAGATTTCCTGTTATCATGCTTCACAAACCCCCTTCAATCCTCACGTATCCCCTTAATTCACAAAACTTCTTCACTCCTCACTTCACATTCCGGCTTCACCTATCACACTTCTAACTCATTTCCACCCTGGCAGGATAAAAAAAATTTTAATCAATGGTGTTATCCGTCCAAAGCCTCATGTATCCCATTTAGCGGAGCTGCGTCGTGTTGTTGTCTGGTCCTGAACTAGAGGTGATGTTTCAGCCATTTTTAAAAGCACTGAGGAAAAAACCAGCCACTACAACGTGACAGATTCCTTGGAGTTTTGTCGTTAGAGTTGGCGTTTTCTCCTGTGTTTCCCTTCCAGTGTACACTGGTCAGTTGAGATGGAGATCTGCTATTGAAAAAAACATCCTTGGCTGTATAATTATTTACTTCCTTCCCGCGATTTGGTACTGAGGGAAAATAACCGCAGCTACAACATGAGAGTTTCTTTTTTCTTTAGAGTTTTGTTTGTAGATCTGGTGGTTTCTCCTGTGTTTCCCTCCCAATAAGACTGGTGCAGTTGATATGATGGTCAGCTACTGTCAGTATAGTTGAGAACGTCGCATCGCTAGTTGAACGTCTGGCAGTAGCTGGTGTTTGAAAGCCAGTCAGCCATGTTTAAATGTTCACTTCCTTCAGTCATTTGACACTGAGAGAAAAAACCATCACTACAGACCTGTCAGTTTCCTTGGAGTTTTGTTGTTAGGTTTCCTCCTATGTTGTCTTCCCACTGAACACTAGTGCAGTTGATATGGAGGTCAGTTACTTCAGTGTAGTGGAAAACGTCGCTTGTGTGGTTGTACGTCTGGTAAGAGGTATATATATATATGTATATATATATATATTATATATATATATATATATATATATATATTATATATGTGTGTGTGTGTGTGTGTGTGTGTGTGTGTGTGTGTGTGTGTGTGTGTGTGTGTGTGTGTTGTGTGTGTGTGTGTGTGTGTGTGTGTGTGTGTGTATGTGTTTGTACCTTCCTGAAGTCAATCTGGAGGGTGTTTAAGGGTTCAACGCCCCCTCGGTCCAGTCCCTGACCAGGCCTCCTGGTGTATCATGGCCTGATCAACTAGACTGTTACTGCTGACTGCACATAGTCCACCGTACGAGCCAGAACCAAGCTTCTTTAATTCCTTCTTGAAGGCAGCCATAGATCTATTCTAATTCCCCGACTATTTAACATTTTTAGGTCCCAGACACTTATACTTAATTAAGGTGCCCCTGCTTTTCACTGGGAGAATGTTGCATCGTCTGCCTAGTGTTTTGCTTTCGTAGGGAGTGATTCGTGTGTGAAGATTTGGGACGAGTCCCTCTAGGATTTTCCAGGTATAGATTATAATGTATCTCTCTCGCCTGCACTCCAGGGAGTATAGGTCAGAAGACTCAAAACGTTCCCAGCAATTACAGTGCTTGACTGAACTTATATGTGCAGTGAAGGTTCTCTGTACATTCTCTAGATCTGCAGTTTCACCTACCTTGAATGGAGCTGTAAGCGTACAGTAGTATTCCAGCATAGAGAGAACAAGTGATTTAAAAAAGGATTTTCATTGGCATGACATTCCTTGTTTTCAAAGTTCTCATTATCAATCCTATTATTTTCCTCGCAGATGTGAAAGTGACACTGTTGTTATCTTTGAAGGTGAGATCCCCTGACATAAACACTTCCAAGTCCTTCACACTACTTTTTGCTCTATTGTGTGGTTAGAGTTTGTAGTATACTCATTTCTAGATATTATTGCCTAGAGTTTTCCATAACGGCGTAATTGAAATTAGTCCTCATTGAACATCACATTGTTTTCCGTTGCCCATTGGAAAATTTGGTTTATATCTGCCTGGAGATTTATTATGTCCTCAATGGATGACGGTCTCATGCTGATTCTAGTATCGTCTGCAAAAGAAAACACGATGCAATGGTTTACATCTCTATATCATACATAAGCAAGAGAAACATGATGGGGGCCAGTACTGTGCCTTGTGGAACAGAGCTTTTCACTGTGGCAGCCTTCGACTTAACTCTCTTTACCAATTCTCTTTGTGTCCTGTTGGTTAGAAAGTTGAAGATCCATCTGCCAACTTTTCCAGTTATTTCTTTATCACGCATATTGTGAGCTATTACACAATGATTGCACTTATCGAAGGCTTTTGCAAACTCTATATGTACTACATCTGCATTCTGTCTGTCCTCCAGTGCATCAAAGACCTTTTCATAGTGGTCCAGTAGATGCCAGAGGCAGGATCGCTAAGTGATTGGTGATCCTGCTTCTTAGAACTCTTTCAAAGATTTTTACGATCCGGGACGTTGGAGCTACTGGTCTATAATTCTTTGCTATTTCTTTCTTGCCACCTTTATGGAGTGGGGCAATATCCGTCGTTTTTAGCGACTGTAGGATTACACCCATATCCAAGCTTCCTCCCCATACTAAAGGCACGCACAAGGGGTCTCTTGCAGTTCTTGATGAACACGGAGTTCCAGGAGTCTGGGCCTGGTGCTGAGTGCATGGGCATGTTGTCAATGGCTTTTTCAAAGTCCAGTAAAGTTAAGATTATGTCATAAATTTGGCATACATTGACAGAGTTTTGAGGCTCGTTCATGAAAAACTAATTTGGATTGTTGATCTTTAGACTGATTAATGGCTCGCTAAACACAGATTCGTATTGAGACTTCAGTATCTCACTCATTTCCTTGATGTCTTCTGTGTAACTTCCATCTTGTCTGAGCAGGGACCAGATACTGGATATAGTTTTCACCTTGTTTTTGGCACATGAAAATAAATATTTTGAATTTCTTTCAATTTCATTGTTTTTTGTTTTTTAGCTCCTCATGTTTCTCCTGGATCCTGAATGAATCATTAAACTTAAGTTGAATATTTTTCTACTTCCCTATTTAATGTTTCGTTCCATATTTCGGATAATCTAGCTTCCTTGAGAAGCTCAGTGAATCTTCACCTTCTGTGGAGGGAGCGTCCTTCTCTTTCCAGTTTACTTCTCTTCTTTTTTCTTAAGGGAAATATGCCTTGACCATACTTCAGCTGCCAGAAAGTTGATCCTTTCAAGGCACTGATTGGGCCCTAATATTCATCAGAAAGTAAATAGTGAAGCCGATCGGAAGAGGTAAACCGAATTTTTTTTAATGTGATTTTAGAGCAATAAAAAGCCCACACTGTTTTATACACAAAGCAGTCAAATCTTCACCTATGCGCTTGAAGTGTACTGTCCGCCGTGGTCGAATTTGGAGGCAATGTTTCTGAATGTTTTAGCTGAGAGTTTTGGAAGTTATCCAAGCCATTCCAGGATGCTGGGAATGGGTTCAACAACTGTGGTCATAGACCACGTCAACGTGCCAAGAATCTAGGCTGAGGCATTCTGGTCATGAACCACGTAAAAAAAAGTTGGAGGAAGAAAAAGTAGGAAAAAGAAAAAGAAAAAATCAGACATCCTCTTAAAGGTATCCCTTCAGGGACACATAATAATAATAATATAATAATAATAATAATAATAATAATAATAATAATAATAATAATAATAATAATAATAATAATAATGTTAATATTAATAACAATAATAATGAGAAGAAGAATACTTACTCTTAGCTGCCTGGGGTGTGGCTTTATCCTGGAGTTCTTCAGGTGGGTCTATGGGTGCGCTACAGGCCAGACGGAGGGCCTTACGGTAGACCATGGCCTGTAAGGCAGCCTTCACATGGATACCCTCCATGGCGACCAAGTGGGTGGAGGCCTGGCTCAGGGTTGACTGGGCTAAGGCTGCCACCAGTGCCACCACTGCCACCACCCAGCCATTCTTCACTGCCTCTCGCCATCCAACGTAGTAAAGCTTGTTTGACCAAAGGATTGAAAGATGACATGAACATTTTTGTTACAGTTTACAACGTTCTTGCAAGAACTTACAACTAACCCACAAATTGGAAAGGAGATCTGATTGATCCAGACCTTCCTCGGAAGATATTGGGGTCAAATGCCTATACGTTCGAAAGGAAAATTGAAGTAGAGGTTATTATCAACGGGAAAGTGAGCTAATCCTCAACGAAGGATCAAAGTATTCGTGAGATAGTTGTCGAACACTAAATGGTTTATTTATTATTATTTTGAAATTAATTGAAATGTTTGAGATATAACAATTTACGTTGGTCACTGCAACACACACACCACAAACTGTGTTGATACAGAATCATGTGTGTGCACAACACGTCTTCATTTTGAGAAAGCTTAACTCTTAGTAGAGATTTGTAAATGTTGTCCCAGTAACCTCCTTTTCTGTATTCCTATGTCTTTGTCAACATAACTGTCGAAGTTACGCCCATCAATCCAACGGTGAAGAATGATGATTTGACCGCGATCAGCCTAACAGTACAATCCAACAATTCATGGCAAATCTACCAGTCATCATGATATGTTTCTACAGATTTTTGTACTCTAGTTTGTATCATGGCTTGTACTCCCCCTTAATGTTTATAATTGCTGTAGTATTAATTGCAGACAAATTACCTTGATAATGTCATTGGTCTCGATAACAGGAACTATACCCAAACAGCCGGCACATAGAAGAATGACACTTTCGGTCCGTGTGTAACAAGTTAATGGTTCAATTCGGACCGAAACGTCGTCGTAAGTTTTTTTCTCCTATGTGTAGGTTATATGTGTATTGTTTCAGTCATAGCACTGTGCCTTTTTATTCTTTAACAGGAACTGTGCAGAGTACCGAGATTGCAGAGTACCGAGGCTGCAGAGTACCGAGGCTGCAGAGTACCGAGGCTGCAGAGTACCGAGGCTGCAGAGTACCGAGGCTGCAGAGTACCGAGATTGCAGAGTACCGAGGCTGCAGAGTACTGAGGCTGCAGAGTACCGAGGCTGCAGAGTACCGAGGTTGCAGAGTACCGAGACTGCAAGTACCGAGGCTGCAGAGTGCCGAGGCTGCAGAGTACCGAGGCTGCAGAGTACCGAGGTTGCAGAGTACCGAGACTGCAGAGTACCGAGGCTGCAGATTACCGAGGCTGCAGAGTACCGAGGCTGCAGAGTACCGAGGTTGCAAAGTACCGAGGTTGCAGAAAGGAGGAACAATAAATTCATACTAAAGTGAAACATGGGAACACAAATATTTTGGAAACACACGGACAATAGTGTCCTTCGTACATACTGTAAACTGTGTGGGCAGCCTGACTCTCACTACCACACTGTGTGGGCAGCCTGACTCTCACTACCACACTTTGTGGGCAGCCTGACTCTCACTACCACACTGTGTGGGCAGCCTGACTCTCACTACCACACTGTGTGGGCAGCCTGACTCTCACTACCACACTGTGTGGGCAGCCTGACTCTCACTACCACACTGTGTGGGCAGCCTGACTCTCACTACCACACTGTGTGGGAAGCCTGACTCTCACTACCACACTGTGTGGGAAGCCTGACTCTCACTACCACACTGTGTGGGCAGCCTGACTCTCACTACCACACTGTGTGGGCAGCCTGACTCTCACTACCACACTGTGTGGGAAGCCTGACTCTCACTACCACACTGTGTGGGAAGCCTGGCTTTCACTATCACACTGTGTGGGCAGCCTGACTCTCACTACCACACTGTGTGGGCAGCCTGACTCTCACTATCACACTGTGTGGGCAGCCTGACTCTCACTACCACACTGTGTGGGCAGCCTGACTCTCACTATCACACTGTGTGGGCAGCCTGACTCTCACTATCACACTGTGTTAGCAGCCTGACTCTCACTATCACACTGTGTTGGCAGCCTGACTCTCACTATCACACTGTGTGGGCAGCCTGACTCTCACTACGACACTGTGTGGGCAGCCTGACTCTCACTACGACACTGTGTGGGCAGCCTGACTCTCACTATCACACTGTGTGGGCAGCCTGACTCTCACTATCGAACTGTGTGGGCAGCCTGACTCTCACCACCACACTGTGCGGGCAGCCTGACTCTCACTATCACACTGTATGGGCAGCCTGACTCTCACTATCACACTGTGTGGGCAGCCTGACTCTCACTATCACACTGTGTGGGCAGCCTGACTCTCACTACGACACTGTGTGGGCAGCCTGACTCTCACTACGACACTGTGTGGGCAGCCTGACTCTCACTATCACACTGTGTGGGCAGCCTGACTCTCACTACGACACTGTGTGGGCAGCCTGACTCTCACTATCGCACTGTGTGGGCAGCCTGACTCTCACCACCACACTGTGTGGGCAGCCTGACTCTCACTATCACACTGTATGGGCAGCCTGACTCTCACTATCACACTGTGTGGGCAGCCTGACTCTCACTACGACACTGTGTGGGCAGCCTGACTCTCACTACGACACTGTGTGGGCAGCCTGACTCTCACTATCACACTGTGTGGGCAGCCTGACTCTCACTACCACACTGTGTGGGCAGCCTGACTCTCACTACGACACTGTGTGGGCAGCCTAACTCTCACTACGACACTGTGTGGGCAGCCTGACTCTCACTATCACACTGTGTGGGCAGCCTGACTCTCACTATCACACTGTGTGGGCAGCCTGGCTCTCTCTACCACACTGTGTGGGCAGCCTGACTCCCACTACGACACTGTGTGGGCAGCCTAACTCTCACTACCACACTGAGTGGGCAGCCTGACTCTCACTATCACACTGTGTGGGCAGCCTGGCTCTCTCTACCACACTGTGTGGGCAGCCTGACTCCCACTACGACACTGTGTGGGCAGCCTGACTCTCACTATCCCACTGTGTGGGCAGACTCACTCTCATTACCACACTGTGTGGGCAGCCTGACTCTCACTACCACACTGTGTGGGCAGCCTGACTCTCACTAACACACTGTGTGGGCAGCCTGATTCTCACTATCACACTGTGTGGGCAGCCTTACTCTCACTATCACACTGTGTGGGCAGCCTGACTCTCACTATCACACTGTGTGGGCAACCTGACTCTCACTATCACACTGTGTGGGCAGCCTGACTCTATCACACTGTGTGGGCAGCCTGACTCTCACTATCACACTGTGTGGGCAGCCTGACTCTCACTATCACGCTGTGTGGGCAGCCTGGCTTTCACTATCACTCTGTGTGGGCAGCCTGACTCTCACTACCACACTGTGTGGGCAGCCTGACTCTCACTATCACACTGTGTGGGGAGCCTGACTCTCACTATCACACTGTGTGGGCAGCCTGACTCTCACTATCACACTGTGTGGGCAGCCTGACTCTCACTACGACACTGTGTGGGCAGCCTGACTCTCACTACGACACTGTGTGTTCAGCCTGACTCTCACTATCGCACTGTGTGGGCAGCCTGACTCTCACCACCACACTGTGTGGGCAGCCTGACTCTCACTATCACACTGTATGGGCAGCCTGACTCTCACTATCACACTGTGTGGGCAGCCTGACTCCACTACGACACTGTGTGGGCAGCCTGACTCTCACTATCACACTGTGTGGGCAGCCTGACTCTCACTACGACACTGTGTGGGCAGCCTGACTCTCACTACGACACTGTGTGGGCAGTCTGACTCTCACTATCGCACTGTGTGGGCAGCCTGACTCTCACCACCACACTGTGTGGGCAGCCTGACTCTCACTATCACACTGTATGGGCAGCCTGACTCTCACTATCACACTGTGTGGGCAGCCTGACTCTCACTACGACACTGTGTGGGCAGCCTGACTCTCACTATCACACTGTGTGGACAGCCTGACTCTCACTACCACACTGTGTGGGCAGCCTGACTCTCACTACGACACTGTGTGGGCAGCCTAACTCTCACTACGAAACTGTGTGGGCAGCCTGACTCTCACTACCACACTGAGTGGGCAGCCTGACTCTCACTATCACACTGTGTGGGCAGCCTGGCTCTCTCTACCACACTGTGTGGGCAGCCTGACTCCCACTACGACACTGTGTGGGCAGCCTGACTCTCACTATCCCACTGTGTGGGCAGCCTGGCTCTCATTACCACACTGTGTGGGCAGCCTGACTCTCACTACCACACTGTGTGGGCAGCCTGACTCTCACTACCACACTGTGTGGGCAGCCTGGCTCTCTCTACCACACTGTGTGGGCAGCCTGACTCCCACTACGACACTGTGTGGGCAGCCTGACTCTCACTATCCCACTGTGTGGGCAGCCTGACTCTCATTACCACACTGTGTGGGCAGCCTGACTCTCACTACCACACTGTGTGGGCAGCCTGACTCTCACTACCACACTGTGTGGGCAGCCTGATTCTCACTATCACACTGTGTGGGCAGCCTGACTCTCACTACCACACTGCATCGGCAGCCTGACTCTCACTACCATACTGTGAGGGAAGTCTGACTCTCACTACCACACTGTGTGTGCAACCTGACTCTCACTATCACACTGTGTGGGCATCCTGACTCTCACTACGACACTGTGTGGGCAGCCTGACTCTCACTACGACACTGTGTGGGCAGCCTGACTCTCACTACCACACTGTGTGGGCAGCCTGACTCTCATTACGACACTGTGTGGGCAGCCTGACTCTCACTACGACACTGTGTGGGCAGCCTGACTCTCACTACCACACTGTGTGGGCAGCCTGACTCTCATTACGACACTGTGTTGGCAGCCTGACTCTTACTACGACACTGTGTGGGCAGCCTGACTCTCACTACCACACTGTGTGGGCAGCCTGACTCTCACTATCACACTGTGTGGGCAGCCTGACTCTCACTACCACACTGTGTGGGCAGCCTGACTCTCACTACCACACTGTGTGGGCAGCCTGACTCTCACTACCACACTGTGTGGGCAGCCTGACTCTCACTACGACACTGTGTGGGCAGCCTGACTCTCACCACCACACTGTGTAGGCAGCCTGGCTCTCACTACCACACTGTGTGGGCAGCCTAACTCTCACTACCACAATGTGTGGGCAGCCTTACTCTCACTATCCCACTGTGGGGGCAGCCTAACTCTCATTACCACACTGTGTGGGCAGCCTGTCTCTCACTACCACACTGTGTGGACAGCCTGACTCTCACTACCACACTGTGTGGGCAGCCTGACTCTCACTATCACACTGTGTGGGCAGCCTGATTCTCACTACCACACTGTGTGGGCAGTCTGACTCTCACTACCACACTGTGTGGGCAACCTGACTCTCACTATCGCACTGTGTGGGCAGCCTGACTCTCACTACCACACTATGTGGGCAGCCTGACTCTCACTACCACACTGTGTGGGCAGCCTGACTCTCACTACCACACTGTGTTGGCAACTTGACTCTCACTATCACACTATGTGGGCAGCATGATTCTCACTACCACACTTTGTGGGCAGCCTGACTCTCACTGCTACACTGTGTGGGAAGCCTGACTCTCACTGCTACACTGTGTGGGAAGCCTTACTCTCACTATCACACTATGTGGGCAGCATGATTCTCACTACCACACTGTGTGGGCAGCCTGACTCTCACTGCTACACTGTGTGGGAAGCCTGACTCTCACTATCACACTGTGTGGGCAGCCTGACTCTCACTGCTACACTGTGTGAGCGACCTGGCTCACACTGCCAAACTATGTATTACTCTGTGATCAAACTTCAACCTATACATCTCAAACTATAAAAACTGGAACGGTGCATGAGACTCAAATCACTGTATAAAACGGAGGAGGAACGCAAGGAACATAGGGGTAACAATATCAGAAGATTATGCGGTGTTACTGTGACAACCGCACAAGAAATGATTGGGGTGGATAACTAGAACTTTCAAAGCAAAAGATGAATTGCCAGTGATGATACTTTGTAAAGTCCCTTGTACAGTCTAAATTGGAATATTACTGTACACCAACAGTCACTTTTATTTATTTACACGTGGAAAATTCTGGAGGGATCAGTCCCAAATCTGCACTCCGAAATTGCTCGGAGGTTTGATAGATGGTGCAACAATCAACCAATGAAATACAGGGGTGAGCACACAAAACTTTTCAGCACCCTTCCTTCATTCATAAGGGAAATCTAGTAGTTTAAGGAGAATTACCCACATACCCTTAACTGTCTTTAAGAGGAAATTAGATAAGTCATTGAAGTCAGTTTCTCGTCAGCTTGGCCGTGGTGCCTACGCTGGTGTGCGTGCTGCTACTACCCACAAACTGAAGGAAAAATGTCTGGTGAATGGGAGGCAATCATATTCGATTCATTAAGGGGAGGACAAGTCTATATCCTTGGAACAAGAGCCCCTCACCAACATCAAGGAACCTCCCTTGTGCGGCTAGCACCATTAGCCTCATTGATCAGGTCGGGAGCGAAGACAACCGGAACCGACTATAAACGACAAGTAACATAACTACAGGTAACACTACAGGTAATATAACTACAAGTAACATAACTACAGGTGACATAACTGCAGGTAACATAACTACAGGTAACATTACAGGTAACATAACTACAGGTAACATAACTACAAGTAACATAACTACAGGTAACATAACTACAGGTAACATAACTACAGGTGACATAACTGCAGGTAACATAACTACAGGTGACATAACTGCAGGTAACATAACTACAGGTAACATAACTACAGGTAACATAACTACAGGTGACATAACTGCAGGTAACATAACTACAGGTGAAATTACAGGTAACATAACTTGCATTTTGTCTTGGTTCTGAACTGTCATCACAACTTACTAGTGATGCACTTAACACGGACTGAAATAGACTGTATAGATTTAAATAGATAGTGGAGCTTTAAATAGTGAAGCTTTAAATAGATAGTTGAGCTTTAAATAGTGAAGCTTTAAAGAGATTATGGAGCTTTAAATAGATCGTGAAACTTTAAATAGATAGTGGAAATTTAAATAGATAATCCTACACATTAATAGTCACTAACAGTGTCATGTGTTTCCACGTTATTAAAATTTTCTTTGTGATAGTGATCACCCTCAGAACTGCACAATCCTTCGTGCATCACTCACAATTATACAGTAAACATCACAATCATAGGAAGTTTTACGTAGATATGACCGTCCGTAACGTACAAGATCATGACGGTGGTCTTAAGGACACACATGTTAATGAAATAAGGTTTTAAACAACGTTATGTTGGTTGAACCTCAGATAACACGGAATAACCTAGAAGAACTTAGGTGAACCCAGGAAAGTAGAGCAAAGTAACTAATTTATAATGGTCTGGTAACCTGGCCAATAAAATCTGTGAAGAAACTGATTTTGTGATCCGTCTTTTGTTTTCAAATGTTGCGTAACTATATTGAGCATAATAAATATTTACAGAGTAAATATAAACACCGATATCTGCGTCTAAATATTCCCTCACCTGTCTGGCCAGACTCTCTCACCTGTCTGGCCAGACTCTCTCACCTGTCTGGCCAGACTCTCTCACCAGCCTTGCCACACTCTCATATGTCTGGCCGGACTCCATTACCTGCCAGTCCAATGCCCCTCACCTGCTTTCCTTAGCGTAAGTGGATACTTGTCTTTATTACAAACCTTGGCCATACACTTGAAGGCTTGTCTAGGAAGAGTAATGAGGTGTCAAACATGTTACTGATGATGTGCCGGGGTTGAGCCCGGTCCCTGAATCTGTGAGTAATGGTACGCCAAGGAAATGGTGTAGCATATATTATTAAACAAAATTGGTTATATCAGCACCGTTTTGCTACTTTATGTAATATGATAGCTATGTATCATGAGTCTCTTAGCCTGGCTAAGAGACCGATAAACTATTATAAAGGCTGAGAGGAGGACTGATTACCTCAGACTCGGTTCATACATGCATTTGTAAACAAAGTATTCAAAATATCTTGTATCCCTTATCCCACCACCTTGATTTTTCTTTTAATATGAAATATGTAGGTGATAAGCAGTAGCGGTGCCAACGGGGGGTTAGGGGGCCTCAGCCCCCAAATAAAAATATTACTAATATTGCTTCAAAGCAAGTCTCCTAGGCTCGTGCTGCTTCAAAATAAGTCTCCTGGGCTCGTGCTGCTTCAAAATAAGTCTCCTAGGCTCGTGCTGCTTCAAAATAAGTCTCCTGGGCTCGTGCTGCTTCAAAATAAGTCTCCTAGGCTCGTGCTGCTTCAAAATAAGTCTCCTGGGCTCGTGCTGCTTCAAATAGTCTCCTAGGCTCGTGCTGCTTCAAAATAAGTCTCCTAGGCTCGTGCTGCTTCAAAATAAGTCTCCTGGGCTCGTGCTTCTTCCTAGCCTCCCTCTCCTTCCAGAAAAATAGCCACCAGGAAGCCACTAATATATAAATTCTGGCGCTGCCCCTGGTGATAAGGTGAACTGCATAATGGTTTAGTATACATTGGATTGAAAATGCATAGGAGAAGAGTCCGTGATACTCAGAATGTACACAGAAGACAGTTATCTAATTTGTCGTTAGATAGTTTACTTATTCCCTCACCTGCCTGACTATGACGCCTTGCTGCTTCAGGGACCCGTCCTGAACCTCACTGACGTACGAGACGATGAGTGCTATGGCCAGGGGTCCCACTACGTTGACGGCGTCTCCTAGCAACTTCAAGACCCCGCCGGCTGCCATCTGCCGCCAGTACGTCTTGGCGAAGACTTTCCAAAGCGACGGTGACCTGACCTCCCACCCGACCTGATATGACTTACTGCAACAGGCCTTGGAAGGAAGAAAAGGGAGGGGATGAGTCGAAAAGGAATATGTCGGAGAGCAGTGAAGAAAATACACTCTCTGGAAGTAGGTTTTATTGGGGCAAGGTATCGCTCTGTGCAGAGCTTTATAAAGTCATGACATTATAATGCTCTACATAGAGTGAACATTGGCTTTATAAAGCATTACATAGAGTGAATCTACGGCCCGCGGGCCGGATCTAGCCCACGGGCCATAAGTCAAATGTTAAATATATGGCAAAATTTAGAATGTATTATTAATACTACCTCTATTTATTAACTATGGCGATAGGTGTGGCCCGCCATCCGCTCACAGACATAGGCTCCTGGCCCCTAGGCTCTACACAAGGTAAAAACCTTCTCCTGGAATACCTTTGTCTCTGCACCTCAGGGACAACTTGTCTTCCAGATGAGGATAAAGAACCTTAGTAAGTTCTCCTCTAGACTGACAACTTGTCTGAACAATAGAGAGGCATACCTCTAGAAACGGTCTTCGTCCGTTATACCCGTGTACGCTGTAGACGATATTAAAATATCGGTCGATACCGAGGAACATATAAAATAACATGAAGTGAACGTGAGGCTGAACACAACTGTTTCACCACCCACACCAGTGAACACAGATGTTTCACCACCCACACCAGTGAACACAGATGTTTCATCACCTACACCAGTGAACACAGCTATTTCACCACCCACACCAGTGAACACAGCTGTTTCACCACCCACACCAGTGAACACAACTGTTTCACCACCCACACTAGTGAACACAGACTGTTTCACCACCCACACCAGTGAACACAGCTGTTTCACCACCCACACCAGTGAACACAGCTGTTTCACCACCCACACCAGTGAACACAGATGTTTCACCACCCACACCAGTGAACACAGCTGTTTCACCACCCACACCAGTGAACACAGCTGTTTCACCACCCACACCAGTGAACACAACTGTTTCACCACCCACACCAGTGAACACAACTGTTTCACCACCCACACCAGTGAACACAGATGTTTCACCACCCACACCAGTGAACACAGATGTTTCACCACCCACACCAGTGAACACAGATGTTTCACCACCCACACCAGTGAACACAGCTGTTTCACCACCCACACCAGTGAACACACTGTTTCACCACCCACACCAGTGAACACAGATGTTTCACCACCCACACCAGTGAACACAACTGTTTCACCACCCACACCAGTGAACACAGATGTTTCACCACCCACACCAGTGAACACAGCTGTTTCACCACCCACACCAGTGAACACAACTGTTTCACCACCCACACCAGTGAACACAGCTGTTTCACCACCCACACCAGTGAACACAGCTGTTTCACCACCCACACCAGTGAACACAACTGTTTCACCACCCACACCAGTGAACACAGATGTTTCACCACCCACACCAGTGAACACAACTGTTTCACCACCCACACCAGTGAACACAATGTTTCACCACCCACACCAGTGAACACAGTGTTTCACCACCCACACCAGTGAACACAGATGTTTCACCACCCACACCAGTGAACACAGATGTTTCACCACCCACACCAGTGAACACAGATGTTTCACCACCCACACCAGTGAACACAACTGTTTCACCACCCACACCAGTGAACACAGATGTTTCACCACCCACACCAGTGAACACAACTGTTTCACCACCCACACCAGTGAACACAGATGTTTCACCACCCACACCAGTGAACACAACTGTTTCACCACCCACACCAGTGAACACAGATGTTTCACCACCCACACCAGTGAACACAGTGTTTCACCACCCACACCAGTGAACACAGATGTTTCACCACCCACACCAGTGAACACAGCTGTTTCACCACCCACACCAGTGAACACAGATGTTTCACCACCCACACCAGTGAACACAGATGTTTCACCACCCACACCAGTGAACACAGATGTTTCACCACCCACACCAGTGAACACAGATGTTTCACCACCCACACCAGTGAACACAGATGTTTCACCACCCACACCAGTGAACACAGATGTTTCACCACTCACACCAGTGAACACAGATGTTTCACCACCCACACCAGTGAACACAGATGTTTCACCACCCACACCAGTGAACACAGATGTTTCACCACCCACACCAGTGAACACAGCTGTTTCACCACCCACACCAGTGAACACAGATGTTTCACCACCCACACCAGTGAACACAGCTGTTTCACCACCCACACCAGTGAACACAGATGTTTCACCACCCACACCAGTGAACACAGATGTTTCACCACCCACACCAGTGAACACAGATGTTTCACCACCCACACCAGTGAACACAGATGTTTCACCACCACACCAGTGAACACAGATGTTTCACCACCCACACCAGTGAACACAGATGTTTCACCACCACACCAGTGAACACAGATGTTTCACCACCCACACCAGTGAACACAGATGTTTCACCACCACACCAGTGAACACAGATGTTTCACCACCCACACCAGTGAACACAGCTGTTTCACCACCCACACCAGTGAACACAGATGTTTCACCACCCACACCAGTGAACACAACTGTTTCACCACCCACACCAGTGAACACAGATGTTTCACCACACCACACCAGTGAACACAGATGTTTCACCACCCACACCAGTGAACACAGATGTTTCACCACCACACCAGTGAACACAGATGTTTCACCACCCACACCAGTGAACACAGATGTTTCACCACCCACACCAGTGAACACAGATGTTTCACCACCCACACCAGTGAACACAGATGTTTCACCACCCACACCAGTGAACACAGATGTTTCACCACCCACACCAGTGAACACAGATGTTTCACCACCCACACCAGTGAACACAGATGTTTCCCACCCACACCAGTGAACACAGATGTTTCACCACCCACACCAGTGAACACAGCTGTTTCACCACCACACCAGTGAACACAGATGTTTCACCACCCACACCAGTGAACACAGCTGTTTCACCACCCACACCAGTGAACACAGATGTTTCACCACCCACACCAGTGAACACAGACTGTTTCACCACCCACACCAGTGAACACAGTGTTTCACCACCCACACCAGTGAACACACTGTTTCACCACCCACACCAGTGAACACAACTGTTTCACCACCCACACCAGTGAACACAAGATGTTTCACCACCCACACCAGTGAACACAGATGTTTCACCACCCACACCAGTGAACACAGATGTTTCACCACCCACACCAGTGAACACAGATGTTTCACCACCCACACCAGTGAACACAGTGTTTCACCACCCACACCAGTGAACACAGATGTTTCACCACCACACCAGTGAACACAGATGTTTCACCACCCACACCAGTGAACACAGATGTTTCACCACCCACACCAGTGAACACAGATTTTCACCCCCCACACCAGTGAAACACAGATGTTTCTCTCACCACACCAGTTAACACATAAAGGGATTAAAAGTTTTTTACTTCATACTAACAATAACGTAATACACAATTGAAAGTTAGACATCTTAAATATTTACATCATTTAATGGAAACGGGAAAAGTTCTCACCTACAAAAAATGTATGAAAGAGTTAGAATTCTTGCAAATGTTTGAATCTTTATTTGGAAACGTGTTGAAATGTGCATTCTTCAACTGTCGTTTACAAGAGATTTAATGTAGGAACAAAAGGGAGTTAAAGAATGAGTAAAGTTATCATCCAGCCTAGAGAATGATAACTAAAACTTCAGCCATTTACTGAGACTGAGAGATTGAAATTTCCTAACTCAAGAGAACTAGGCATAACTTAACCGATTTACACAATATGGAAAATATGTCCTTCGAGAAAAGAATGAAGTACAAACGTTTAGGTGGACTCAGAGTGTAAGATTATAAACTTAAAAACATTGGCAAAATTTTTGAAGATGGTAACATGATTACTTGTACCGTGACAAAGGGAGAACTAGGCCTAACAGTGACCCAGTGCCGGTGAGCTATGTATTCTACGGAAAGAAACTGTACTGGAATATTCCTCCTCAAGATGGTAACCGATGGAAGGGTATTAGTTAGGTCAGAGTGTTCCTAACATTAAGAATTTAAAAAATATATTGGAACGCAAAAACTGTGAGGATGAACATTAACGAGTGAGCTCGTACATGAAGAGGTTGAACAGCACTCACAGGCACATAGTAAACAGTATGCAAACAACTGTTTCTACCAACTGCTGAAGAACCTCTCGTACTGGAAGCGGGATTCCTCCTCCTTGGGTAACCTGATGGTCAGAGGTCAAAAGTTAAGGTCACACTGCTGTTACCTAACACTTAAGAGATTTAAAAAAATTGATATTTGATAGTAACGTTGCAACTGAGACGGAAGGAAACAGAACGAGGGCTGACATCGGACATGAAGAGTCCAAATGAACAGAATACAGAGCATATATGAAAAACACGTAAGCAAACACTTACCTGTTTTCTAAACCAACTTGTCGGTATTTATTTCTAAGGTTTATACCATGATATATATATATATATATATATATATATATATAATTAATATATATATATATATATATATATATATATATATATATATATATATATATATATATATATATTAGGGGAAGTTTTCTCCAAGGAAAAGTAGCGTCGACACGCTACTTTTAATAATAGATGGAGACAGTGACTGAGGGCCACTGGTGACTCACGAAATCGTAATGACACGATTGCAAGCAAACTATACCACGGGCGGGGTTAGAACCCAATCACGGGTTCTAACCCCGCCCGTGGTAAGGTTTACCCACTGGTGTGCCTGGCGCTGGGAAGAAACATGGTTTGTAACAAGGCTGCCTAACTTTATGTGGCATCTGTGGTTGAACAAAAAATGATAGCTTTAAAGTAGACATGAGAGCTGATAAGCAGACATGACAGCTCGTAAGTAGACATGAAAATCCAATAGGCAGGTGTATACCACACAGGTTAATCAAAGTTCAAAAGCGGAGCCCAGTAGCTAGAACTCAGCCAGAGTAGATAGATATTGTATATACAAAGTACTTTTTTCCAAATGCCTCTCACTTAAAGGCAAACATCGTGGTGAAGAACAAACACCGTGGTGAAGAACAAACATCGTGGTGAAGAACAAACACCGTGGTGAAGAACAAACATCGTGGTGAAGAACAAACACCGTGGTGAAGAACAAACTTCGTGGTGAAGAACAAACACCGTGGTGAAGAACAAACATCGTGGTGAAGAACAAACACCGTGGTGAAGAACAAACACCGTGGTGAAGAACAAACATCGTGGTGAAGAACAAACATCGTGGTGAAGAACAAACACCATGGTGAAGAACAAACACCGTGGTGAAGAACAAACATCGTGGTGAAGAACAAACATTGTGGTGAAGAACAAACACCGTGGTGAAGAACAAACATCGTGGTGAAGAACAAACACCGTGGTGAAGAACAAACATCGTGGTGAAGAACAAACACCGTGGTGAAGAACAAACAATCGTGGTGAAGAACAAACACCGTGGTGAAGAACAAACAAACACCGTGGTGAAGAACAAACATCGTGGTGAAGAACAAACATCGTGGTGAAGAACAAACACCGTGGTGAAGAACAAACATCGTGGTGAAGAACAAACATCGTGGTGAAGAACAAACACCGTGGTGAAGAACAAACACCGTGGTGAAGGACACTGTGGTGAGACACAAACATCGTGGTGAAGAACAAACATCGTGGTGAAGGACAAACACTGTGGTGAGACACAAACATCGTGGTGAAGAACAAACATCGTGGTGAAGGACAAACACTGTGGTGAGACACAAACATCGTGATGAAGAACAAACATCGTGGTGAAGGACAAACACTGTGGTGAGACACAAACATCGTGATGAAGAACAAACATCGTGGTGAAGGACAAACAGTGGTGAGACACAAACATCGTGATGAAGAACAAACATCGTGGTGAAGGACAAACACTGTGGTGAGACACAAACATCGTGATGAAGAACAAACATCGTGGTGAAGGACAAACACTGTGGTGAGACACAAACATCGTGGTGAAGAACAAACATCGTGGTGAAGAACAAACACTGTGGTGAGACACAAACATCGTGATGAGACACAAACATCGTGGTGAAGGACAAACAGTGGTGAGACACAAACATCGTGATGAAGAACAAACATCGTGGTGAAGGACAAACACTGTGGTGAGGTGAGACACAAACATCGTTGTGAAGAACAAACATCGTGGTGAAGGACAAACACTGTGGTGAGACACAAACATCGTGGTGAAGAACAAACATCGTGGTGAAGAGCAAACATCGTGGTGAAGGACAAACACTCTGGTGAGACACAAACATCGTGGTGAAGAACAAACATCGTGGTGAAGGACAAACATCGTGGTGAGGAACAAACACCGTAGTGAGACACAAACATCGTACTGAGACAAACATTACACCCTTGCAGTGCTCCCTCGGAGTTGGTCAATACCTGCCTGGCGTATCCTGGGTCGTGCCACAAGAGGCGTATTGAGCGCCCAGTCACTCACTACGCCTCTGGCTCCCTGATCAGTGGTCCAGTGTACCAGCGTCTACTTCACCGCTCCTGCCACACAAGCCCCTTCCAGCAACCATAATTCATGACGCAAAAATGCTTCCGTTTCCTCCCTCCCTCATCCCATACTTGAAGAACATCTCACCATTCACATCTATCCATTCAAAATAACTTTAAAACTTTATATAGTCTCCCAAAATATTGGCTTCGATGGTGCTGCTTGGCAGTTTTTTCTATATCCTTCCTAAATCTGAATTTATTCAATCTGAATCCAATGTTGCGAGTTCGCACTTTTTTGGAAGAATATTTTCGGCACTGTCATATTTTTTTTTTATTATTTATACCTATGCATCATTGGTATATTTCAGCAATGTTCTCATTTAATGCCTTCTAAGTTAATCTAGATTTAAGGATTATTACCTCTCTTACAATGGTAACCGGATCACAATCTTGTAAATCATAAGAGTAAGGTGTTTAGCGATCCTAACAGTGGGGCCCAGTTCATTAACCCACTATTTGCCTCTCTAATATTTTGAACGCCTCCCACAGGTCAGGTATAAGGGTGCATAATAAAGCCACCAAACTAACTTTACCGACCTCCATAGGAGGTCTACTGGAAAGAATCAATGAACTCTTCTCATCCTTCTCTATATGCTTTCCAGCACAATGATATGGGAAGACGAAGACGCAAGTTATAGAACCAGCTTGTGGCAGGGCAACGTTTGGCAGCAAAATGTTGTTCAAATGAAGGTTGGGTCTCGCATCTTTCTTCATTCCATCATCCCCGTCTACAGGTTACCTAAGGACTCCAATGGAAATAAGTGACCTTATTTGACTATTTTAGGCACTTACAGATACTTACATGAACCTGTGCTTAAATAAACTTACTAATCCAAGTGATAATATCTCAAATACAGTTTGCAACCACTTCAGTCACTGGTGTGGAACCGTTTCAAACTTCTCACTGAAGTCCTGGTAAGCAACAGCGTAATGTATCATCGTCCAAGTGATACATTACGGAGACTATTTCAGGTTTTTTAATCTCAAAATATTTTGAAGTCTCCTCCTCCTTATCCAAGCTAGTAGTTGTAATTTTAGACTTGGTTTATTGTGGAAATCGATCGCCCGCTGGAGAAGCAACCATGAAATTGCTCGTCAGGCCCCCAGGTGTCCGAGATCGTTATCGCCCCCTCGCCTCCTAGAGTCTCCTCGCCTCCTAGCGTCCCCTCGCCTCCTAGCGTCCCCTTGTCTTCCTAGTGTCCCCTCGTCTACTAGTGTCCCTTCGTCCCATCGCCTCCTAGCATCCCCTTGCCTAGCGTCCCCACGTCTCCTAGTACCTCATCCCTCTTGGCACCCAGCACCCACATCTCCCACCACCCACGACACATGGGCCAGTCTTCTTACACCTCTGTAACCCTTGGCTACCTAGCAGTAAAAATAGGTGTTCATGTTTTAGCCAATTGTTCTGGGTCTCATCCAGAAGGAATAACATGTTAGAAAACTCCAGTATTTCTTAAGTGTCTTGCTGGAACGTTATATCTTGTGTAAAAAAACTCCACTCCTGTGTGTAACTCCAGTACTTGCTGGAATGTAATATCCTGTGTAGAAAATACTGCACTTCATTGTGTAAATAACTCCAGTACCCGCTGGAAGTATTCAAGTACTGGGCTCCAGGTATTCCTGTACCTATTTACGGCAATTAAAATATATACCACGCCTCCCTCACCCACATTACCTGTCATCCACCACTCATACCCATGATCCACCACTCCCGCCCCCCACACCACCCACCATCCACGCCACCCACCACCCAAACAACACATAATTTCCACTACTTACTTTCCGAAGTCGGTGAACTCCAGGGGCCTCTGCCAGCCCAGTCTGAGGACGCCCAGGAACCAGACAAAGGTAGCACGGCTGGGAAGACCTACCAGAGGGTGGCGGTAGTTGAGACCGGCGCCGCCCACACCCACGCCGCCCACGCCCGCATCATCCGCCCCGGGCGTGATCTCCAGCACCTCACAGTGCCGTTGTCGGTACGTCTGTGGACAACATGTGTGAGTCTGTGAGATACACAGTACAGCAAGGAAGAGGATGATTCTCACACACCAAAGGGGAGAATCACAGACCACCACAGACCAACAATAAATGTTTATGACCACCACAGACGAACACAAACCACCACTGAATGTATATGATCACATAGACCACCACTGAATGTTTATAACAACCACAGACCAATGCAAACTGGCTGAGACTAAAATGGACCACCGCAGACTGTTCTACACAATGTCTAAAATCTCCCCAGATCACTACAGACAAGCACAGACCACAGACATACACAAATTACCACAGACTATTTAAACCCATCAATTTTATCACGTTAGTAAAGAAAGGAGTAAAGAATTTCCATACCAAAAATTGGTGTCAGAAAGTGAAAAGCAGGTGACCGGTCTAGTATATTATGTGTATGTGTATGTTGTGTGTATGTTGTGTGTATGTTGTGTGTATGTTGTGTGTATGTTGTGTGTATGTTGTGTGTATGTGTATGTTGTGTGTATGTTGTGTGTATGTTGTGTGTATGTTGTGTGTATGTGTATGTTGTGTGTATGTTGTGTGTATGTTGTGTGTATGTTGTGTGTATGTTGTGTGTATGTGCATGTTGTGTGTATGTTGTGTGTATGTTAGTGTGTATGTGTTGTGTATGTGCATGTTGTGTGTATGTTGTGTGTATGTTGTGTGTATGTTGTGTGTATGTTGTGTGTATGTTGTGTGTATGGTATGTTGTGTGTATGTTGTGTGTATGTTGTGTGTATGTTGTGTGTATGTTGTGTGTATGTGTATGTTGTGTGTATGTTGTGTGATGTTGTGTGTATGTTGTGTGTATGTTGTGTGTATGTGTATGTTGTGTGCATGTTGTGTGTATGTGTATGTTGTGTGTATGTTGTGTGTATGTGTTATGTTGTGTGTATGTGTATGTTGTGTGTATGTTGTGTGTATGTGTTGTTGTGTGTATGTGTATGTTGTGTGTATGTTGTGTGTATGTTGTGTGTATGTGTATGTTGTGTGTATGTTGTGTGTATGTTGTGTGTATGTTTGTGTGTATGTGTATGTTGTGTGTATGTTGTGTGTATGTGTATGTTGTGTGTATGTGTATGTTGTGTGTATGTTGTGTGTATGTTGTGTGTATGTTGTGTGTATGTGTATGTTGTGTGTATGTTGTGTGTATGTGTATGTTGTGTGTATGTGTATGTTGTGTTATGTTGTGTGTATGTTGTTTTGTATGTTGTGGTATGTGTATGTTGTGTGTATGTTGTGTGTATGTTGTGTGTATGTTGTGTGTATGTTGTGTGTATGTTGTGTGTATGTTTTGTGTTATGTGTATGTTGTGTGTATGTTGTGTGTATGTTGTGTATGTTGTGTGTATGTGTATGTTGTGTGTATGTGTATGTTGTGTGTATGTGTATGTTGTGTGTATGTTGTGTGTATGTTGTGTGTATGTTGTGTGTATGTGTATGTTGTGTGTATGTTGTGTGTATGTGTATGTTGTGTGTATGTGTATGTTGTGTGTATGTGTATGTTGTGTGTATGTTGTGTGTATGTGTATGTTGTGTGTATGTTGTGTGTATGTTTTATGTTGTGTGTATGTGTATGTTGTGTGTATGTGTATGTTGTGTGTATGTGTATGTTGTGTGTATGTGTATGTTGTGTGTATGTTCATGCTGTGTGTATGTTCATGCTGTGTGTATGTTCATGCTGTGTGTATGTTCTCACTATGTGTATGTTCTCACTATGTGCATGTTCTCATTATGTGTATGTTCATGCTGTGTGTATGTTCTCACTATGTGTATGTTCTCACTATGTGTATGTTCTCATTATGTGTATGTTCTCACTATGTGTATGTTCTCACTATGTGTATGTTCTCACTATGTGTATGTTCTCACCATGTGTATGTTCATGGTATGTGTTTGCTATCACCATGTGTATATTCTCACTATGTGTATGTTCTCGCTATATCGTTATTTGGAAGTTGCCTTGATTGTTAGAACACAGTGTTGCAGGTGTTGGCTGGAGCAGAATCAAGGTATTTGCTTCTGAAATTGTTCCTTTCTTCCTTGATGATTGATCTTGTAATCATGAATAAAGACATGAGTAGCAGAGGATCATTTTAGAATGATCTACTACCAGTGTTTTTATTCCCACTTGTCAGTTATGGGTACTTCTCTAACTTTCCGTCTTGTTTGCAAAAATGGCGTTGAGTGTCCCGCTAAAGAACACGTGCGTTGTTGATTTTGTGTTCTGCATGCGTATGTGTTCACTGACACTGTGTTCTACTGATGAGTGTGTCGACGTCCCGTCATGTGTCTCCTGCGTTTTTTCATGAGAGTCATCATGAGGAAGGGGGGGGGGGCTAAGTCGCGGCTTTCTCTCCATTTTGGTGGTTATGTTGTGTCAAGGAGCTCATCAGGGCCAAACACAACCACCAGAAAGAAGAGAAAGTCGAGAGTAACTCCATTCTGTGTGATGATAGGGATGGAAACAACGAAGGTGAAGCATCACACAGGACACATCAGGGAACACACTTCGACACGCAGAACACATAACAGTCACAATGTATTATACAACAACAGGACACCCACAACCATCTTACGAACGGCAACAAACTTAATGATTATCAAGGAAAGAAATACAGGAAAAAATGTCCGGAATCCTCTCTTATAAGCACTTCAAGGTACCGCAAGTTCAAGGTATCATACAAATGTCGGAGATATGAGCTAATCAAGTTCTGAGCAGAAATATAACAAAACACTTAAGTAACCTGCGAAAGTTTTATCAAGACCTTTGACAAATGCGATCATGGAGTAGTGCCTCATAAAATAAGGACAATAAGTATAGCACTGAAAGTAGAGGAAATGAATATTCAAATTTCAACAGGAATGGCAGTAAAGTAAATAAAATACAGTCTCAGCAGAGTAAAAAAATTAAGAACAAAATACAAGGTTCTAGAAACAACACTGAGTCTCAGCCTTACAGATGTGAACACTAACCACACCTTTGTATAGCCTTTAGTGAACGACACCGAAGGAAGAATGAAAGTCACCTCAGTAGAAGACAGAAAAAATTACTGATATCAACAAAGCCTTCAAATTAGCAAATATAATAACAGAATAGTCAATGGTGACAATTTTTTACTCTTTAGGTATGGAAATAATGAATTCAAAACAAGCGAAGCATGAAGAACTAAGGCAAGTATCACATAGGAAAGTGCCGGATCAACTGGGTTGTGATGAATAAGTGGACCGGTGGTCCATTAGAACGAACAGCCTGGTTAACCAAGTGGTCAATAAGAAAACCTAGACTTAGGCCGGGCTGCAGGGCTAGAAGAGACCTTGAAACAGCCCACAAGTATATCACAAGTATATCACAGGTATATCACAGGTATGTCACAGGTGTATCACAGGTATGTCACAGGTGTATCACAGGTGTAGATGTCGTGAGACAAGAGACATAATGAAGCAGTCAGCTGCACCTCACAGAGAAATCTATGGTATGTTAACTCTGTTCTTCATGTGATCTCTACTGACTTGGGAACCTTGTAAATAAAGCGTAACTTTCTCATTTACAGTTTTTACAAGACTGCTTTAAAGTGTATCATGTGTTCCAAATAAATATGACAAAACACCACAGCCAAGCCTTCTACCACAGACCCCCATACACCGTCTGAGACCCCCATACACCGTCTGAGATCCCCATACACCGTCTGAGACCCCCATACACCGTCTGAGACCCCCATAAACCGTCTGAGACCCCCATACACCGTCTGAGACCCCCATACACCGTCTGAGACCCCCATACACCGTCTGAGACCCCCATACACCGTCTGAGACCCCCATACACCGTCTGAGACCCCATACACCGTCTGAGACCCCCATACACCGTCTGAAACCCCCATACACCGTCTGAGACCCCCATACACCGTCTGAGACCCCCATACACCGTCTGAGACCCCCATACACCGTCTGAAACCCCCATACACCGTCTGAGACCCCCATACACCGTCTGAGACCCCCATACACCGTCTGAGACCCCCATACACCGTCTGAGACCCCCATACACCGTCTGAGACCCCAACCACACGCGTCTGAGACTCCCATACACCGTTTGAGACCCCCATACACCGCCTGAGACCCCCATACACCGTCTGAGACCCCCATACACCGCCTGAGACCCCCATACACCGTCTGAGACCCCCATACACCGTCTGAGACCCCCATACACCGCCTGAGACCCCCATACACCGTCTGAGACCCCCATACACCGCCTGAGACCCCCATACACCGCCTGAGACCCCCATACACCGCCTGAGACCCCCATACACCGTCTGAGACCCCGATACACCGTCTGAGACTCCCATACACCGTCTGAGACTCCCATACACCGTCTGAGACTCCCATACACCGTCTGAGACCCCCATAACACCGTCTGAGACCCCCATACACCACCTGAGACCCCCATACACCGCCTGAGACCCCCATACACCGTCTGAGACCCCCATACACCGTCTGAGACCCCCATACACCACCTGAGACCCCCATACACCACCTGAGACCCCCATACACCGCCTGAGACCCCCATACACCGCCTGAGACCCCCATACACCGTCTGAGACCCCCATACACCGTCTGAGACCCCCATACACCGTCTGAGACCCCCCATACACCGTCTGAGACCCCCATACACCACCTGAGACCCCCATACACCGCCTGAGACCCCATACACCGCCTGAGACCCCCATACACCGTCTGAGACCCCCATACACCGTCTGAGACCCCATACACCGTCTGAGACCCCCATACACCGTCTGAGACCCCATACACCGTCTGAGACCCCCATACACCGTCTGAGACCCCCATACACCGTCTGAGACCCCCATACACCGCCTGAGACCCCCATACAACCGTCTGAGACCCCCATACACCGTCTGAGACCCCCATACAACCGTCTGAGACCCCCATACACCGTCTGAGACCCCCATACACCG